CTGAGGGATTGAGGGGAGAGGGTGGGGACTGAGGGATTGAGGGGAGAAGGTGGGGACTGAGGGATTGAGGGGAGAAGGTGGGGACTGAGGGATTGAGGGGAGAAGGTGGGAACTGAGGGATTGAGGGGGGAGGGTAGGGACTGAGGGATTGAGGGGGGAGGGTAGGGACTGAGGGATTGAGGGGGTAACAGGCATGTTTCTAATGCTCTGTGAGCAGGTTAAGAACAGAGAAGGCATTTCCAAATGGATTCCCGCACACCAATCAGAATGGAACACATCAGCACATATCTGACAAACTCACTGGAAATAAAAGCAGGAGAAGGCCATTCAGCCCTTCCATCCGATAGTCATTAACGGGATGAGGGTGTTGCTGGCTAGGCAGCATTTATTGCCCATCCCTAATTGCCCAGAGGGCAGTTCAGAGTCAACCACATTGCTGTGGGCCTGGAGTCACATGTAGGCCAGACCAGGTAAGAATGGCAGTTTCCTTCCCTAAAGGAGGTCAGTGAACCAGATAGTGACTCCCCTCCCCTGCTCCACCATTCAATGTACTGATGGCTTCACCATCTTGAGGGATATAGGATGGGCAAGTGGGTATGACAGGGCAGGAGATGTAGTGTCTTTCAAAAGGTGTTCGATAATATATAAGTTTAAGGTTAATCTGTAAAGTGAATGCCTATGGTGTTGGGGGTGACATATTGATATGGAAGGGGAATGGGACATTGGCACCTGCACTAAGGAAAGAGGCAGCTGTTCCAATGAGACAGGCTCCACCTGAATCATGCTGGGAGCAGAGTCCTGGTGAATTGCATAACTATGGCTGCGTGTAGGGCTTTAATCTAAAAGTGGGGGTGGGGGGAGGTTCAGTTGCAAGGAAAATTATCGAATAAGTTAAAGTGAGGAGGGAGGGCTTAGCAGAGGTTATTAAAGTTTCCAGAATAAATAATAGGACAGAGAGTATGGAAAGGTCAGGAATCTGACTTCAGGCCCAACAGATAAGGGGACAACTATTAGCAGGGGGGCACTCAATGCACGACTGAGGGTGCTGTACTTAAACGCATGCAGTATTCGAAAGAAGGAAAATGAGCTTGTAGTGCAGATTGAAATTGGCAGGTACCGTGCTGTCGGTACCACAGAGACGTGGCTGCAGGAGGATCAGTTCTGGGAACTAAATATCCAAGGATACACGTCCTATTGAAGGAGAGGGAGACGGATAGAGGGGGCAGGGTTGCATTGTTAGTAAGAAATGAAATTAAATCGATAGCTAGAAGTGATACAGAGTCCGAAGGCCTGGAATCTGGGTGGGTAGAGTTGAGGAAGCACAAAGATAAAAAGACCCTGATGGGAGTAGGGTACAGACCTCCTAGCTGTAGTCAGGATTTGGGAAGAAAATAAATCACAAGTTAGAAAAGGTGTGTAAGGACGGCACTGTTATAATAATCATGGGTGACTTCAATATGTAGGTGGACTGGGAAAATCATGTTGGCAGTGGATCCCAAGAAAAGGAATTTGTGGAATGACTATGAGATGGTTTTATTGGAGCAGCTTGTGGTAGAGCCCACTGGGGAACAGGGAATTCAGGATTTGGTGATGTGTAATCAGGCAGATTTGATCAGGGAGCTGAAGGTGAAGGAACGCCCTGGGGACAGTGACCATAAAATGACAACATTCCCCCGCAGTACGAGGGAGAGAAGATGTGAACGTATTACAATTGAGTAAAAGTAACGATAGAGACATGAGGGGGGGAGCTGGCCAGAGTTAACTGGAAGGGGAGCCTAGCAGGGAAGATGTTGGAGCAGCGATGGCAGGAATTTCTGGGGTTAATTTGAGAGGCACAGCACAAATTCATCCCAAGGAAGAAGAAACATACTGAGGGGAGGATCAGGGAATCATGGCTGACAAGGGAAGGCAGGGACAGCATAAACACAAAAGAAAAAGCATACAATGTGGTGAAGGGCAGCAGGAAGCCAGAGGATGGGGAAGCTTTTAAAAATCTGCAGAGGACAACTAAAAAAGCAATAAAGAGGGGGAAGATGAAATATGAGAGCAAGCTAGTAACATAAAAGAAGATTGAAAGAAGTTTTATTGTAGATATTTAAAAAGGTAGGAGAGAGGCAAGAGTGGACATTGAACCATTGGAAAATGAGGCTGGAGAGGCAGCAATTGGGAACAAAGAAATGGCAGGGGAACTGAATAGGTACTTTGCATCAGTTTTCGTGGTGGAAGAACCAGCAACAGAACTTCTCGAGAGTCAGAAGGCAGAAGTGAGTGTCGTGGCCATCACTCAGGAGAAGGTGCTGGGGAAGCTGAAAGAGCTGAAGGTGGATAAATCACCCAGACCGGATGGACTACACCCCAGCGTTAGAACATAAGAACATAAGAAATAGGAGCAGCAGTAGGCCACCTGGCCCTTCGAGCCTGCTCCGTCATTCAATAAGATCATGGCTGATCTTTATATGAACTCAGTTCCACTTACATCCCCCACCTCCCCCCACAACTCACCATAACCCTTAATTCCTTCACTATTTAAAAAATTATCTATCTTAGCTTCAAAAACATTCAATGAGGCAGCCTCAACTGCTTCACTGGGTAGGGAATTCCACAGATTCACAATCCTTTGGGTGAAGAAGTTCCTCCTCAATTCAGTCCTAAATCTGCTTCCCCTTATTTTGAGGCTATGCCCTTTTGTTCTAATTTCACCCTCCAGTGGAAACAACGTCCCTGCTTCTATCTTACCTATTCCTTTCATTATTGTACATATTTCTAATAAATTCCAATTCCAATGAGTATAGTTCCAGTCTACTCAATCTCTCCTCATAAGCCAACGCTCTCAACTCCGGAATCAACCTAGTGAACCTCCTTTGCACCCCCTCCAGTGCCAGTACATCTTTTCTCAAGCAAGGAGACCGAAACTGTACACAGTACTCCAGGTGTGGCCTCACCAGCTCCCTATACAGCTGTAACATAACCTCCCTGCTTTTAAACTCAATCCCTTTAGCAATGAAGGACAATATTCCATTTGCCTTTTTAATTACCTGTTGCTCCTGCAAAGCAACTTCTATGATTCATGCACAAGGTCACCCAGGTCCCTCTGCTTAGCAGCATGCTGCAATTTTTTACCATTCAAATAACAGTCCCTTTTACTGTTATTCCTACCAACATTGTAGTCCATTTGCCAGACCCTTGCCCACTCACTTAAACTATCTACATCCCCGTGCAAACTTTCAGAGTCCTCTGCACACTTCGCTCTGCCACTCATCTTGGTGTCACTTGTGAACTTTGGGACAGTACACATGGTCCCCAACTTAAATCATCTCTGTAAATTGTAAACAGTTCCAAAGGAGATAGCTGAGGAGATTGCGGAGGCTTTGGTGTTGATCTATCAGGAATCGCTGGAGGTGGGGAGTGTGCCAAAGAACTGGAAAATAGTTAACGTAACACCTCTGCTTAAGAAGGGAGGGAGGCAGAAGACAGGAAGCTATAGGCCAGTTAGCCTGACCTCAGTCGTGGGTAAGATTTTACATTCCGTTATAAAGGATGAGGTCGCAGAGCACTTGGAACTGCACAGTAACATAGGGCTGAGTCAGCACGGCTTTGTCAAGGGAAGGTCATGCCTGACAAATCAGAATTCCTTGAGGAGGTAATGAGTAAGATAGACAAAGGCGAGCCAG